CCCCAAAACCCCAAAACCCCAAAACCCCTTTCAAAATTTAAAGTAGTAAAATAATAAGGTTAAATATTTAGAATGGAATAGATTCTCTCAACCATCGTAGAGAAATTCTATACTGAGAGAATAACTTCTGAATTGCTTCTTCTCTATGAGGCTCCACAAAAAGATAAAAGCTATCTATATTTTTCTTAAAGTCATTGGATTTGCTGAGTCCTTCCAATAAATTCTTAATGTGCTTGTATTGGGTTTTTTCCTCTAGACTAGAAGAGTACTTGCAATAGTCAATTATGATATTTTTAATAGTACTTCCATCCAATGCATGACCAAAATCAGGAACTTCTTCGCATGACATAGTGCAAACAATAAACTCGATACGCTCAATGTGTCTGTTTGCGGAGAGAAGGGTCATCAGTGCCCGTTTGTTTATGTGCATGCAGTCTATTTTCAGCCAATTCTTTACTCTATGACAGATACTAAAGACTTGTTTAGGATAAGTTTCTACTGTAACAGTATGATCATAAGCACCTCATAAATCTAACTGAGAAGCTTCTCTTGGAAATTGGCCTTCTATAAACCTTCTTCACGCATCTATATTTTTAGGATGCATTCTTCTTAGACTTATCTTATCTACCTTATGCAAAGGTAGAGGTCCCAGTCTCTTAAGCAGTCTCAAGTCTTCCTTCTGGTCCAGGTCGATATTGAAGTATAGTCAGTTAGTCTCGTAAGCCATGGGTCATGATTATCTTCAAGCAAATCAGTGAATAGTCTATCATCCAGAGACTTTCATTCTTCTAAAAGTTCCTTCTCGTGAAGCCTAGTCAGAGCTCTTAACTTCTTATGCTTCTTCTTAGTAACAGGATTCCAAGCGTAACGTAAAATTTTATTGGAGGATAGGTCAGAAGTGATGGATTTGTAGAGGTGGTATAGTTCAGTTGTTTCTTTGTGGAGAGATTTTTGGATATAGGTTTCTGCTATATGGGTGGGGTAGTTGAGGTAGAGTGTTCTTCCTTGGATTGTTGAGTTTTAGATTCTTTTTGAAATCTAATCTTCCTTAGAATCATAAAAAGTTCTTTGGTTCTTCTCTCATAATACTCTTGTGTATACTATTTTGGGTTAGCCAAGATAGCTTTTCTTTGTAATTCATCTCTTATACCCTGAACCTCACGCATCAACACCCACAAATCTCCCCCCTCCTCTCCTGCCCAACTATCAACACTCCCTCTAGTCCTCTCTTCTCCTTCCTGCTTCTCTCTCCGTCCAGCTCAACAACCTCTTTTCCCAAGGCAAGACCCCATCTTCTAAAAGAAATCCTAAATGTATAAATTCTATTTTCCCTTTGGCTTGGGGTTTTGGGGTTTTGGGGTTTTGGGG